AGCCCTTTCTAAGGGCATCGTGGTCTACGGTTCATAACAAATAGTCTAAAATGTATAGAATTTTTTTCCTTATTGTTTTCGTAAAAACTTTATAGCAAATAAAAAAAAATATTTTACATTGTATATTCGGACATTCTCATTTTAACCTTATAATATTTTTATGTAATAATTATAATCATAATAACAATTGTTTTTATTTATTTATTTTTTAAGTTTAAAAATTCATTAATTTATAATTAAGTTAAATTTCAATAAAATTAATAAAATTGGTTATCAATGAGTATTTTTTTTGTTCTGTTTTTCATGTTATTCACAGCAGTGGCTAAATTGGGTTAAAAAAAAAGGCATCGCGGAAAAGTTTGGGAACCGCTGCTCTACTATTATTTATGAAAATAAGAAAATTAATTTTGATCGCAATGGTATATCTAACAATAATGTTTAAATTGTTTAATATTTAAAATACTAAAATTATGATTTTCAAGTGATCAAAATAATAATTTTATAAATGTTGTCGAGTACGATCGCAACAATTCATGTGCATAAACCGTAAGTACGAATGCAGGATGAAAATCGTCGTCGCCCAGGTGCTACTTTGTATAATATTGTTAAAATTAATACGTCTAAATCATGTTAGAACCGCGCTAACGTGTGCGTGCGGAAACGACCAATCCGCTGTATCCCTCAAGCGTATCACACCACGTTGTCCAAACATAATATGTTTACATTATATTAGTATATTTATATTATAAATATCAATGATAATTTTTTCCAAATTAATCCTAACGGATAACGGTTTCCAATTATGAGAAAAGGAATCTTATTATTTTCGATGATTAATATTATTTTTACTATTATGTGATGAGTGTCTTATTTAATCGCATCCGTTTTAAAACTCTATTGTTTGCTAGCATTTGGACAGTGATAAAACAATAACATTAAAAACAAACACTATAGAAACCGACGGACGTTTTTTCATATTGCCGCTCTCGCTACATCAGCAGCCATGAGCCGCCACCATATATACACTTCGATAAATGCATTTATATAATTATTGAAGTATAGAATCCTGGCCGTCGACAAAATAATGGGCGACCATGAGTGTGTTTTTTTGAAGTTTTCAAAAACAAATCAATGTCGATTAGGGGGCGATACGTTCTGTGTAGCGGCTAAAAACGTCAACAGAAGTTATAGGTGAAAATTAAAAATCTCCTAATTTAACAGGACTGAAACGAGCCTCATCACGTACGAATGGTGAAGTCAGTAAATTCTTGTACATTTTGAATCTGATTTAACGGCGATAATGGCGATAAAAGTGACATTTATAATACATGGGGATATTTAAAAGACCGTCCAAATCAAAAAAATCGATAATTATTTTATTACCATTTTAAATAGAATAGAGTTTAACTAGGATAAATATGGTACCGCTAAAATTTGTTTGTGACTATTCATTCGCTAGTCTCGGTGATTTTTGACATTGCGCGTGACGTTACGGATTCGTACGCCGCGGCGGCGTTCATACATAATACACGGCAATATTTATCCGATTCATCACAGTAAACGTGTGTTATATTGTTTTGACGATCGTGACATCGTGTACGGTGTACCTATAGATTTTTGACGGCTAAACCTCCATGAATGAATAAAACTGATAAAATGATAACACTGACATGCCAAGTACCTAATTTTTTTAAATTAATTTTTTGTTTTTAGAATAATTTGATGACGCGTAATGTTTAGTATATCTTCGTTTAAAACGATCTTTTTTAAACAAATTTCTTTCTGTTATACACTTATTTCCCGATCGTAATGATGTGATTTTTTCAAATTCGACACAACCAACACATTTAGCATCGTTATCGAAAATACAACATTTTTGGCATGTACACCAATTATTTATGTTTGTCACTTTTGATCGTCCATTAACACCTATTTCCAAAAATGAATTATGAACCGAATATCTGTTCTCAGATCACTGATTCACTGTTGGTTCAAAATTATACGATTGAGGGACCTTTGAAAAATATATGTATTTTATGATATCGTGTAACTAAATCGTGCACCACAATCAATAATAAAAAGGACCACATTCACATTTCACACTGAAATTCTATAAAGCAATGGTGAAATAGCAAAAATGGTAAAAATATAATAATTTGTAGTACGAACGTAATGATCGTAATGAAAAACCAAAAATAAAACATAATATAACAAACGTAACATAACAATAATATTTTTATATCGTTACCCGTTTTGCTACTTACTGGTCAGTTGAATTGTGAACACTTGCACAATTTATTTTGTATAACAGAGAGTGATTTATAATAATGTATAATTAGTGCTGTAACGTAAAAAACAAATTGTAAATAATATTACTCAAAATAACGTTTATGCTAATTTTTTTTACGTTGAACACGAAATTATTTTCAAATATTATAGTCGCCAACGATTAAAAGTTGATTAACTTGTGTTAACAATAAGTTATTTTTTTTCAAAATATTTTATCTCAGTTTTATTCATAAATATTGAATTATTTAGTATAATAGTTTATTTCCGTAACTCAACTAATTATCGGTTTCTGACCGTTATGGTCGATTTAATTGGTACAGAAATGCGGACGTGTTGTATGTACGAGAACATAGTATAATTTTGATTTTGATAATTGGTTGTAGATATTTCATTAGTTAGGTCGGATGGAAATTTAAAATCGAAAGACGTAATGTGGCGTATGGCAGCGCAGTGTAGAAAATACTCCTATGTGAACGCATATTATTAAGCTGTTCGTTCAGTGAGTCATGAGTAGAGCACGGATTTGTATGCTTTTAAGAACAAATTACGTTAAAAATTCTTAAATATGAACAAATACATGCGCTAAAATGTTGAAACATACAAAAAAAAAAAGCTAAAAAAATATGCATACAAAATTTAGTAAAAAAACATTTATATTTCGAAAGTTTAATTAAAAATAATATAAAAAAAATACATTTACAATTATAGAACCTTACTGTTGTAAATACTTGTCTTTCTTCTTATTTTTAAATAACTTATTTACCAAAACCATTTCAAAGGTAGTTTTAATCTATAAGAAAAAAATAAATTAATTAATATCAAAAATGCATCCTAAAAGACATCTTCTTACCTAAATGCAAATCGCATTGTATGAAAATCATTTTAGTTATATTTTTTAAAAAAAAACTGAAAATTGAAAATGTTGATTTGTGACTGACGAGGATGGTATTGACTGATAAGCATATTTGAAGTGGCAAATATTGTTTCCATTATAGTATATTTATAATTCTGTTTTAAGGTATTTTTTATTTTTGCTTTTTCATAATTACTTGTATTATTTGAAATACAAGTTTTGGCATAATTTACGATACTAATGGTCTCAGCTAAAGCTATAATTTAGAAGTTATACAACTTGGTATATTTCCATGGTTGACTTTAGTCATATTTAGTCATAAGTTTATTACATACTTTCACTATGTACATTACCGTCTACGGTTGAGTTTCTACCATAGATAAATACGATCGGCATAATACGATAGTTTATCTACGGTCGTTTAGCGTTTGTACTTTTACTTAATTATTTTATATACCATCAATATTTTGAAAAGAGTGAATACTTTTACCCGAAAATGATTAGTATTTATTATAAAATAGTTTCAAAGTCATCACATGTTCTACTTATGCATCATAAAGTATATGTAGTTGACAATGTGAACCACCAAATCGTTGGCAGAAAGTTACCATCTATCAAACAAGTTTTGAGTGTACTGTTTTTTAATTTGAAACGTGTAAAATTAAATTTGAAAGAAAATGCAAGGTTAGGTTTGATATATAAAGAAATCTTACTTTTTGGGAAAAAGCGAGAATACCAGTTCGAGATAAACGAAATTTTATTTTAAAATTGGAAAATTGTATCAAAACATTATGTATTTATATAAAAGTTTTAACATTTAAAATAACAATCATTTATACTTAAAACCAGTGGAGGTCCTTCGCAAATTCCAAGAGTGGGAGGGGGCAAAATATTTTTCACATAAAATACAATACTTCAAAATAGTAGTTATAAAAAAAAATAGTTCGTTAAATTTAAAAATGTATTTCATGTAGTATTGCAAAATAAAAGTTCTTTTTCGAATTTATAATAAAGTACTTAAAATAATGTACAACATAGATATATATTGTCAAATTGTTGTTGTAATATAATATAGGCCAAGGGAAGGTAATCTACCCATCCTCTTCATAGGACCACTACGACCAAAAATCAACGGTAATTTCATATAAAAACACAATATACCAAACTATATGTATCATTGAGTTAACATCCGATACGTGAAAAACTATTTTTGAGTATACTGGTCTTAAAAAACAGTTACACGAAAACAATATGAATTTATGGGAACAAAATTAATTAACTTAATACCAAAACATATAAATAATTGATCACAACACGTCTACGTAAATTTAAAAAATATTTTTATAGATGACTTCTTTATAAGTTTCACTTTTCGCAAATTATTCTCATATTTCTACTCAATATTATTATTCATTAATTGCTTATTATTGTAATATTATTACTATTTATTTTGTATTTTATATATTTTTTTCATATAATTTTGCGCATATATAATATGTATAGTATGATTTTCATAGTCTGATTATTTTATTGTACTTCTATTTTTTAGGCATACTAATTTTTATTTTTTCTTGTGTCATAGTAAGCTTGAGCCTTTAGTAGAGTTTTCTCAGTAAATTTTAGTATTCTTATGAGAAATATGGTTTAAAAAAATTTAATTAAATTTAATATTTGTATATAATTATTAGGTTTTAATCAAACTGTTAACAGTATTGGCCAGAATAGCCTTAAATATAGTAATAAGTTTTCTATCGCTATTTGTTTATTTCTACATAAATTTTGCATTCGATCGTATATTACACAGTATAATTTTACATTACTTCATTCAATCCAAGGCTTTCGAATTAAATCATTTATCATGCGTGAAATTTGTCATTTGCAAGCCGGCCAATGCGGAAATCAAATCGGTGCAAAAGTAATATACTACCACCACATTGAACGATTAAATCTCGATACATTATCTAAAATTTTATCAGACCGCGAAATTTTATTATAATTTTTATTTTTTATTTTTCAGTTTTGGGAAGTTATTTCTGATGAGCACGGCATCGACCCGACCGGTTCTTACCACGGAGATTCGGATCTACAGTTAGAGCGAATCAATGTTTACTACTCGGAGGCACTCGGTAAGATTAAACGTAGAAAACAATGACTCGCGGTAATAATTAGAACACTTATGCACGCGTGACAATGATGTATTATCAGGCGGAAAATACGTGCCTAGGGCGATCCTCGTGGATCTGGAACCGGGCACCATGGATTCCGTGAGATCCGGTCCATTCGGTCAGATATTTCGGCCGGACAACTTTATTTTCGGTCAATCCGGCGCGGGTAACAACTGGGCAAAAGGGCATTATACCGAAGGTGCCGAATTGGTGGATTCCGTGTTGGACGTGGTCAGGTAAATCGTTTCAAATCAACCACCGACGAAGTAAATCGCTCTTAAAAATAAATATAAAAATATTACTCGTATTCTCATTTACATACTGTATCACGTGTACCGGGTTTCAGGAAGGAAGCGGAAAGTTGCGATTGCCTACAAGGGTTTCAACTGATCCACTCGCTGGGCGGCGGGACTGGTTCCGGCATGGGCACACTTTTGATATCGAAAATCCGTGAAGAATACCCGGACCGCATCATGACTACGTACAGCATAGTCCCTTCGCCCAAGGTAAATAATCGCGGGTCCTCCTGATGGAGGGACGCATTCACGTGATTTTTATTGCTGTTCGGGCGTTATAACGTAGTGTACGGACAATCGCGCGCGCGTTGTTAATCAATCGATCAACGTACGTCGGAAAAACATACACGTAGTAGAAGGTTAACTCCTTTTCGTCTTACAGGTGTCCGACACGGTGGTGGAACCGTACAACTCTACGCTGTCGGTGCACCAGTTGGTGGAAAACACGGACGAGACGTTCTGCATCGACAACGAGGCGCTGTACGACATATGCTTCCGGACGCTGAAGCTGACCACGCCCACGTACGGCGACCTGAACCACCTGGTCTCGGCGGCCATTTGCGGCGTGACCACGTGCTTTCGGTTCCCAGGGCAACTGAACACGGACCTGCGGAAGCTGGCCGTAAACATGGTTCCGTTCCCGCGGCTTCACTTCTTCATCATCGGGTTTGCGCCGCTCACGTCCCGCGGAAGCCAGCAGTACCGCGCGCTCACCGTGCCGGAGCTGGTGCAGCAGATGTTCGACGCAAAGAACATGATGGCCGCGTGTGACCCGCGCCATGGCCGGTACCTGACTGCGGCCAGCATATTCCGCGGCCGCATGTCCATGAAAGAGGTGGACGAGCAGATGCTCAACGTGCAGACCAAGAACTCCAGCTACTTCATCGAGTGGATACCGAACAACACCAAGACGGCTGTGTGTGACATACCGCCCCGGGGCCTGAAGATGTCGGCCACGTTCATCGGCAACACCACGGCCATCCAGGAGATGTTCAAGCGCGTGGCCGAGCAGTTCACGTCCATGTTCCGGCGCAAGGCGTTCTTGCACTGGTACACCGGCGAGGGCATGGACGAGATGGAGTTCAGCGAGGCCGAGGCCAACATGAACGACTTGGTGTCCGAGTACCAGCAGTACCAGGACGCGACCGTCGAGGAGGAAGGCGAAGGCGACGAGGACGAAGACGCCGACGCGTAAACGACACCCCGTCGCACGCGATCTGTTTGATATCCGTGCAACAATGCGTTTGGAAAAAAAATCAATAAAATAAAATCTGTTGAGGCTATTATGTCGAATATTATTGTAATGAACTGCACGGAACGATACGAGCACGATACTATTACGATAGATCACGTAACGCACATGTGTACGTTTTCAATTTTTCTGAACTCGCTTGTCTGGAGATGGTGAACTGCAGAAAATTTACCTTTTTTATAAAGGCTGACGTGCAATACGTGACAAAAAAAATGTTTCACAATCTGTGACAAAACCGATAGAATACATTATACATTAAACGGAAATTTAATTTGTATAACTATTACGTAAATAGCATTATATATTATTTGCCATGCATAATCGATATACTTATTAAAACTTATCGATTAGCTTCGTATGTCCAGTAATAGGCTGTAGTTATTATAAGAATATAATAATTATATCAGTATATCTCGCTTCAGATACACTGTGAATGTGCAGATAGAATCCAGAGGCATATCCATAATTTAAGAAAACATTCGTGTTATGTGCTCTAAGTATAATTTTAATATGTATTACCGTTGATTATAGATAGACTATCTATAATCAATGGTATTACGTAATATATTAAAGATATGTAAAAAATAAGCTGTATAAGATCATCATAAGAAATATACTACGAGTTTCCTGTTGAAGTCCTCACACATTGCCGCGGTGGCGGTGGCGATAAAATTGTACCCACGTATTATAATGGAAGCCCGCACACTGTTATTCGGCTACGATAAAATGTCCCCGCGGGATATTTATAAAAACCGCAGCATGCTGGATTTCACCGCCACCGCGCAGCAGTATTTTCTACTGATATTCTTAATTTTTCCCCAAAATCAATGTTAATACTTCAAATAAACTTGTATTATTAATTATTCTTCAAAAAAACTTTCAAAAGGTAAAAAAACGCCAAACTCAAAATTAGAACTATTATATTCTTGCAACGAAAAAAAAATCTGATTTTAATATTGATGTCCACCTAATATGTGTATTTTAGATAATTACATGTATATATCAATCGCCAAATATTGGATAGTGATATTGAAACAAAACCGGTACAAAGATAATATTTATAAGTAAGGAGTAACAAGAGAAGTTTAGGAAAATGGTTGAAGTACTTCGTAAATTAAAAAAGCTTGGATAATGTTGATATCAGTGCATTTTTTGGACAGATTTTTTTTTGTTTTGCAAGAATGTCATAGTTCTAATTTTGAGCTTGGCATTTTTTTACTTTTTGAAAGTTTTTTTTGGGAAATATCAGTATTTTTTTTTTTTTTATACACCAAGAACTATAATGTTCATATATTATAAGTACCTAAGTATTATTACTAATTGTTATACATTATAATATCATTATCATTATGTATATCAAGTTATAAATTATTCTAGGACTCAGTGGAACCTCTATCGAACAGTATTTACTTGCGAAGTATATTATAGTAGGTGAGTCCTTTTTTTTTTATATTTTTCTATTAAATAGTAAAAATGCATCTCGACTTTTTCTAGGCCATTTACTTTTGGTGGATATGGTGATATCGTCATCTAATATCCACGTATTATTATATTTTATGCACGCTACGTAATGAACACGTTGAACATTTTCTCCTTTACGGAATATACACGCATGCAATTTGTATTTTAGATTGTTAATTTTAGTTATCGCTCCGTCGTTGATTAAAACAGATAGCTTGTGCAATTTTTTTTTCTTTTTTTTGTTTTATCGTAATATCACAGATACAGAATTAATAGCCGTTGTTGTTTATTAACGAACGTAGTGGGGACAATCGTCAGTATTTATTTTCATGAAAATAGACAAAACTATAAATAGAGTTTTCGAGGCGGCGGCGAAGTCGTTATTCCCAGGCAATCCTTGTGCGATAATAATATTATGGTCACAGATTTTTTACGGAAAAATGTGCCAATGTAAATAGACGCTACAAATTTGATATTATTTACATCTATAAATAGCAAAATTCCGAAATTTCAAAATTGTCATCATGTATTGATAAAGCCTACATTATATACAAAATATCTAAATGCATGTGTTAAGTTGATTTCGGTCACAGCTAGGGTTATCAACTACCAGCTAAGGTGATCGGGACTTTTTCCCAATATAAGAACATTTTTTCAAGTTTTAATATATTATAAAAGTAATAATTTTTGGAATAACATATTATAATATAAAATATAAGTACATAACACAGATATATTTTCTCTCTATATGTATGTACTTATATGTAAATATTATATCTACAGCCGAGATATTTACTAATAAACAGGGTTGGGATTTTATAGCACTTAAAATTGCATAAATATGGGCTATAATATTACCTTAAAAATCTCTAAATAAGCTCTAAAAATATGTAATAAAACCAACAAAATATGCAACAAAAAAAAAGGAAATTTATTATTTAATGATTTTTTACAAGCAGACGAAACGAATGTGGACTGTATAAAACGAATTCTACACTCGTTCGTTGATAATCGGCTATTAGTAGATTTAGTAGAAATCGACAAAAAAAAAAACCTACAAAATCAGCAGATAACAAAAATTAGAACCAAATAACTAAAACGAAATTATCGTAATATTATACTACACTTACCTATATATTATCGATGTAATTGTATAGCATTGTATCAGTGAAATCGGTCTATTTACTTAATCAGTACATTTATAATTTACTTGAAAATGCGATTGATAAAAATCAAAAAACACGTTTAGTAAAAAAAAAATCATAAAATGTGTTCGATTTTGATTAAAACACAGGTAAAATGTAAAAAAGTCTCAAAAATTCTAAAAAAAGCGCTAAAAACTAAAAAATGCAAAATATGCATAAAAAGCAAGATAAAACTTTCTATTTGAGTTCTCTATATCATGAAACACATTTTTATTTTACTCTGCTATTTTTTAAGCGTCTCATAAGAAATATGTAAATACTATAAAATCCCAACCCTGCTAATAAAATAAATAAATAATAAATAATATTGGTAATTTCCTTATGTCCCGGGAAACATGTGTTCGAATGAACATTGATCGGGACGCGGGAAAAAAACCTAAAAATCATAAACGTCCCTCTACAATTGGGAAGGTTGGAAAACCTGACTCACAGCACATATAAATGATAATATTACATTTTATTATTAATATGCTGCGGCTTCATCGTTGTTGTCGTCATCGGTTTTATTTATAAATATATATAAATACAAAATAATTTAGATATAATTCAATGTGATGACCAGGGCGACACTCAATAGCGTTATTCCCCTTATTTATTTGTGGAATACATTTTATTTTTAGCTCTGAAGACAATTTTTATTTTCATTTATCTGTCTTTCACAGTATTATTTTGTTTGCCAGTACTCAGTAATCGACGAATCACGGACGACCATTGTTTTCTTGTTAATTCGTTACTGCGTATATTGTCGTGTTTGTCTTCGTGTTCGCATTTGTTTTCGTGGCTTATATCTGTTAATTTATTAGTGCTCGTATTCGTGGTATAATTTTCTTAAATTAAAAAATAAATAAATATGCCGAAAGAAAAACAATCACAAATTAGTTGCTTGAGAGGTTTCATTTCGGAATTTGGGGATCATGTATTTTCCGCGGACGGAAGAATTTTACTTTGTAAAGTATGTGAACTTAAAGTAAAATATGAACGGCGATTAAGTGTAACACAATATTTACAAACAGGTAAACATGTAAAAATTATTAAAAGGAGGGAAATGTTTAAGACAACAATCCAATAAATGATTACACAAACAAAAATAATGATTATTTTTTTGTTAATTAATTTTAATTGCTACATATAGAAAAATATGTTGAGTGTTAGGAAAGTCCAAAAACAGCTTGGCCTTTTTTTAATGATATTGTATTTATAAAATATATTTTTTAGTAATATTGTGTATGTATAACATATATTTTATAGTAGTAGGTATGTGCAATATATGTTTTTTTTTAATTAAATTTGTATAGTATGTATTTTTTAATTAAAAATAAATACATATTTTTAAGATTTTAAGCACATAAAGTCCCGATCCCTGGTGATGACACTCAGCAGTCGGCAATTGTGCATATAATCACGTATTTTTATAATTTGAATACAAAATATACATATACATAGGAAATAATAAGTAATAAGAAGTAATCATTACAACTATTTCTATTGCCCCTCCGGCCGCTGTGAATGCCGCTTAACCCCATTTAATTGTGCAGAGTATAATACGCATTGTACGGTCGACCGTTGTTCCATTATCGGCACAGCGCGCTCTTTTTTTTTTAAGCTTGGTTTGCTGATCGACCTACTTGATTAATTATCAGCTCGTTTGATTATTTTAAATTATTTAATATTATACTAGAGGATTATGAAAATATGTACGAAATTAAAAATTAATATTTTTTATTCGTTATTAATTTATTTGTTTTCATATGATTGTAAGTGGATAACACATATTTATAATGAAGGTACTATAGATGTATAAAATATCCAGAGCCGTATTAAGGGGGGGGGGTCAAAGGGGACAATTGCCCCCGGGTGCCATAGTTTTTTAAAAGTAAGGGGGCGCCCTTATCTGCACTTTATATGCTACCTGTGCCCAATGGCCCCATAGAAAAAAATTTTGCTCCAGAGCGCTGAAATGTTTAACACGGCTCTGAAAATATCATTTAAAAATACAATGAAATGTTTATAATATCCATTGGTATACAACACTTATTTATTTCTGAAATAGCGCGTCACTCATAACTAGATCCGATTTGTGTTCGAACGAAATCGAATCTTGCAATGTTTATTTTAAGTCAAAATTATTTATTAAACACAATGTTTATGTTTAGTTTAGCCAAACTGATTAAACTGATCAGAGATTAATGTGTACAGTGTATTATAAGGATCATATATTATTCAACTTAATTGAAAGTAATCAATATAATATATTACGAATGTAATATGTATAATATT